GTATGTCAGTGCATCAGCTGTGACTGGACCCTTAAAGAGGGTTATTGTGTAGTCTCTCCTTCTGCTTCAACTAAATAAGTAATTTGGCTAGGCATGCCCAAACATTTAGCACGCAACTCTAAATGTTAACTTTTTTTTCATGTACCAGTAGCAGGTGTTATTGTAAGTGAGATAAGATGCTGACAATAAACAAATGTAGCAAGAAGCAAAGGAGAGCTAGTTAGCAGTGTTTATATTCTCAGGATTCAGTATCCTGGACTGCGCTTCAAGCCATCTGACTGATGGTGCAGTTAAAACAAATGTTTACTCATCTGGAGAAGGAAGTTCTGATATGTACAACACTGCATGCTATTGTATGCATTAGTCACGAGAGGCATGTAGTCTCCATGAAAAGGCTTGCAGACACCTTTCCAGAGAGGCACCTGAATAATGAGTGACACGGAGCAATCAAATAACTATTCGAGAAGGGGTAACAAAATAATCAGGAACAATATTATAAGACATACTAATAGAGCAGATGTGGCTACTTGTTGCTGGCCTTAGGTCCTAAAGTACCCTTTGCAAGTTTTGGCATGGGACCATTGCATATGGCAGCTACAGCTTCAACCTGCAAGGAAGTTCTGAAACGTCCGCTAAGTCCCCTTTCCTTGTATATCAAACATCCAGGGTGGTGAAAATATTGTGGATATGCAGAGATGGTAGAGTATGGTATGGAATGGAATTTTTAGCATGATTATAGAACTATCACAGTTTTGCTAGTCTCTTTGACATTTCATCAGCTTTGGTCTCTTGCAGTCTCTCTGCTCTATACATCAGAGTCTCCTGCACTTTACCGGCTAGGCCCGGGTTGCCAGCATTCCCCCAAGATGGTCCAGTATTTCACCCTTCTCCCCACTGGCCTTGTTTCTTCAACATTCACAATGTCAAGCAAAGACTCTTCAGAATTCTCCCTGTCTGGCCCAGTACCTCCACCATTCTTCCAGCCCAGCCTGGTCCCTCCCTCTTCTTGTCTGGCTCAGTCCCTCTGGCATTCTCCTTGTCCAGCCCAGTCCCTCAGCATTTCACCTGTTTGGCCCAGTCCCTTGGGCAGTCTCCCTATCCAAACCAGTATCTTGGGCATTTTGTCTCCATCTGGCCTAGTTCCTTCTTTCCATCCAGCCTGGTCCCTCAGGCACAATACAGTCTGGCATTCTCCTTGTATGGCTTCCCCTCTGGCCCAAACCCACTGCCCTTCTGGCCTATCTACACTCTGAAATTCTCCCTGCATTTTCTGTTATTCTTCCTCTCTGACAAAGCCCCTCCAGCAACCCCCCCAATCAAGTCCCTCCAGCCTTCTCCCTCTCCCAGTCCAGTCCCCTCCGGCCTTCTCCCCACTCCGGTCCAGTCCCCCCGGCCTTCTCCCACTCCGGTCCAGTCCCCCCGGCCTTCTCCCACTCCGGTCCAGTCCCCCCCGGCCTTCTCCCACTCCGGTCCAGTCCCCCCGGCCTTCTCCCACTCCGGTCCAGTCCCCCCGGCCTTCTCCCACTCCGGTCCAGTCCCCCCGGCCTTCTCCCACTCCGGTCCAGTCCCCCCGGACCTTCTCCCACTCCGGTCCAGTCCCCCCGGGACTTCTCCCACTCCGGTCCAGTCCCCCCGGACTTCTCCCACTCCGGTCCAGTCCCCCCGGACTTCTCCCACTCCGGTCCAGTCCCCCCGGACTTCTCCCACTCCGGTCCAGTCCCCCCGGACTTCTCCCACTCCGGTCCAGTCCCCCCGGCCTTCTCCCACTCCGGTCCAGTCCCTCCTGCCTCCCACTCCGGTCCAGTCCCTCCGGCCTTCTCCCTCTCCGGTCCAGTCCCCTCCGGCCTTCTCCCACTCCGGTCCAGTCCCTCCGGCCTTCTCCCTCTCCGGTCCAGTCCCCCTGCCTTCTCCCTCTCCGGTCCAGTCCAGTCCCCTTCTCCCACTCCGGTCCAGTCCCTCCTCCTTCTCCCTCTCCGGTCCAGTCCCTCCGGCCTTCTCCCACTCCGGTCCAGTCCCTCCGGCCTTCTCCCACTCCGGTCCAGTCCCTCCGGCCTTCTCCCCCTCTCCGGTCCAGTCCCTCCGGCCTTCTCCCACTCCGGTCCAGTCCCTCCGGCCTTCTCCCACTCCGTCCAGTCCCTCCGGCCTTCTCCCACTCCGGTCCAGTCCCTCCGGCCTTCTCCCACTCTGTGAAGTCCCCCTTGCGTCCTCCCCCACAGGCCCTTCGGCATTTCCTGTCTGCCCAGTGCCTCTGGAATTGTCCCCTTCTGGCTCAGTCCCTTCGACATTCTCCCTGTCTAGCACAGTCCCTCCGGCATTCATTTCCCGTCTGGCCCAGCCACTTTGACATTCTCCCCATCTAGCCTAGTACCTTGGGCATTCTGTCTGGTTTAGTCCCTTGGGCATTCTTTCCAGCCAACCTAGTCCCACGGGCATTCTTTCCAGCCAACCTAGTCCCTTCTGGCAGTCTCCCTGTCTAGCTCGATCTCTACAGCATTTCCCACTCTAGCCCAATCCCTCTAACATTCTCCCCTTCTGGCCCAGCGTCAATTCTCCACGTCCAGCCCAGTGTCTCCACCATTCTCCATGTCTGGCTCAGTCACTCAGGTATTCTCCCTGTCCACCCCAGTTGCATTTACCCCATCCAGCCCAGCCCCTCCAGCATTTCCTGTCTGGCTCAGTCCCTATGACATTCCCCCCTGGGGTCCGTCTGTCATTCCTCCATCTGGTCTAGTCCTTTCATCATTCTCCCAATCCTCCCTAGCCGCTCAGGTATTCTCTACACTCAAACCAATCCCTTCAGCATTTCCCCTATCTGGCCCAGTTCTGCCGACATTCTCCCTGTCCAACCTAGCACCAAAGACATTCTGTCTCCTTATGACCTAGTTCTTGGGCATCTATCCATCCAGGCATTCTCTGGCCCAGCCCCTCTGGCATTCCCCTAACTGGCTCAATCTCACCAACATTCACGCAGTCACCCTGGCATTCTCCCCATCCGGCTCAGTCCCTCCAGCATTCTCCCCATCTGGCTCAGTCACTCCAGCATTCTCCCCATCTGGCTCAGTCACTCCAGCATTCTCCCCATCTGGCTCAGTCACTCACACGGCATTTTACCCATTCAGCTCCTCCACCATTCTTCCTGTCCAACCTAGTACCAAGCGCATTGTATCTCTGCCCAACAGTCCCTTTGGCATTCCTTCCATCCAGTCTGGTCCCTCAGGCATCCTCTGGCCCAATCCTTCTGCCATTCGCTCTGTATGGCTCAATCAATATGGCATCCCCTACCTCTCTAGCCAAATCCCTTCAGCACTCTCTCCTTCTAGCCCAGCATCACTGTAGAAGTCTCCCTGTATTTTCTGGCATTCTCCCTGTCTGACCCAGTACCTCCGACATTCTCTGCTTTTGGCCTAGTGTCATTCCACCATTCTCCATTTCTTGCCAAGTTCCTCACGTATTCTGCCATCCAGCCTACTTCCTTGGGCATTATTTCCATCCAGCCCAGTCCCTCCAGCATTCTCTGGCTCAGTCCATCTGGCATTCTCCCTGTCTGGCTCAATCTCTACAGAATTTCCCCCTCTGACCCAATCCCTCCAGCATTCCCTCCTTCTAACCCAGTGTTGCTCCACCATTCTCCACATCTGGCCCAGTCCCTTTGGCATTCCACCATCCAACCTAGTTCTTTGGGCACAGTTTCCACTCAGCCTAATCCCTTGTGCATTCTTTGGCAGAATCCATCTGGAATTCTCCCTGTCTGGCTCAATCTCTACCGCATTTTCCCCTCTGGCCCAATCCTTCCAGAATTCTCTTCTTCTGGCCCAGCGTCAGTCCACCATTCTCCACGTCTGGCCCAATCCCTCTGGCATTCTTATGGTCTTGCCCTTCTACATCTTGACTGTCTTACCCAGACCCTCAGGCATTCCCCCATCCAACCTAGTTCCTTGGGCATTATTCCCACCAAGCCTAGTCACTCGGGCATTCTCTGGTCCAGTCCATCTGACATTCTGTCTGGCTCAATCTCTATGGCATTCCCCTCTCTGGCCCAATCCCTTCAGCATTCTCTCCTTCTGGACCAGCATCACTCCACCATTCTCCACGTCTAGCCCATTCCTTCTGGCATTCTACCATCTGGCCCCATCCCTTCAACATTCTTCCGTCTGGCCCCGTCCTTCCAACATTCTCCCTGTCTGGCCCTCCATGAATCTTATCTGTCTGGACCAGTCTCTTAGGCATCCCACCATCCAACCTAGTTCCTTGGGCAATATTTCCACCCAGCCTAGTCAGACATTCTCTGGCCCAGTCCATCTGACATTCTCCTTGGCCTGGTCCCTATGGTATTCCCCCCGTCTGTACTAGTCCCTCTGACATCCCACTGCCCCGTCTGGCATTTCCCCCTGTCATTCTCCCCCCCCCCCCTCCCCAGTCCCTGGGTATTCTCCCCTTGTGCCTGGCCAGGTCCCTCTTATTCCCCCCCCCCCCCCCCCCCCCGGTCTGGCCCAGTCTCTTCAAAATTCTCTGTCCCTAGATCAGGTGTGTGGCAGAAGAACTGGCCCAACATAAATGTTCCCAGAGGTCCCTGACCCACCTGTAGTACATGCTACGATGGGATGGACCCCCCGGCCTGCCTGTCCCCCTCAGAGAGCACACCAAATACAATCACACAGGTGACAAGCTCTCCATCTATAGAAGACTTCCAATGACAGGATCAGCTCTATGAACATACAGGGCTGTCAGCCCAGGACACACGATATCGGGGAATAGGAGGATGTTCTGAAGATACACAGCCAGATCTAGTGCAGAGCAGACAATGGGTCCCTATGGGGGCTGCACCTCTCCTCGTCCAATCAGATGAATGAACCTCTGAGACACACCTGGACAGAGCCGTGCACCCCACACTCGGTGCCCCCTCCCCCTCAGACCAGCTCCCTATAAAACGGGAAGCCGGCAGGCAGGCTCTCAGCACAGGCCCAGGAAGACACTTGTTCCCGCACAGCCCCGGCACCTACCACACAGAGCCATAGGCCCCCGAGCCCACCGGGGTGAGGTGCTGATACCGCTCCGGCACCTCCCACACCGTCCTTGTTCAGCTCTTGCCGGTAAAATCCGCTGCGGCTGTTCATCTCGGCGAAGCCGGCAAACGCAGCCCTGGCACAGTGGAGGAAGGAGGCGGGAGGAGGAGGAGGAGGCTGGGGGAGGGGAGAAGGAGGCGAGGGATCGGTCAGGTGGAGGGACAATACTCAGAACACAGAGCTCACACCGAGCCACTCATCATTGGATGACATGAACGTCACACATGGCTCATAATCCACCGACACAGGCACGCCCGGGACTCCCTCCCTCCATGTATGCATCGTGTGTGACGAGGCGACTCCGGGGAATGTCCTCATCTATGGACGTGACTGGATGAGAGCCAGACAAGGACTCCTAGGAAGGCTCCTACCACCGGGCCTGCCCTGATTATCCAGGTCACAGTCATACCTTACAATGGAGTCATCCCTTATGTACCTGAGCAACCAACTGCCAGCCATGTTACACATATGTAACCACACACATATGGAACTACACACATATGGAACTACACACACATGGAACTACACACACATGGAACTACACACACATATAACCACACATGCACACTTTATCCGCTTCAGCCCCAGAGCAGTTCTGGCACTTTTAGTTTACATTTCAAAATCAGCATTTTCTTGCTAGCCACTTGCCCTGCAGAGGATTCCTTCCTGACCAGGCCATTTTTTGCGTTATGGCGCTGCGTTCCTTTAACTGATAATTACGCGGTCATGCAACGCTGCACCCAAATGAATTGTATGTCCTTTTCTTTCCCCACAAATTGAGCTTTCTGTCGGTGCTAATTGATCGCATGTGCGGTTTTTATTTGCGCTATAAAAAAAAAGCCAAATTTGAGAAAATATTTTTGACTTTTTGCTATTAAACATGTCCAGTAAAAGAATTTAAAAAATCAAATTTGTCAAATTTAGGTCCAAATGTAATTTGCTTCATGTCTTTGCTAAAAAAAATCCCAATATGTGTAAATTAATTGGTTTATGTGAAAGTTGTATCGTTTACAAGTGGTGGTATAGATACCAGGATTTTGTTTTCATTTTTACTAGTAATGGCGGCAATCAGCGACTTATAGAGGGACTGCGGTGGGCATTCTAACACTGGCACCAATACAGTGATCAGTGCTAAAAAAAAAAAAAGCACTGCCACTGTACTAATGGCACTGGGCAGGAAGGGGTTAACAGGGGTGATCAAAGGGTTAACTGTGCTGTTGTTATGTGTCTGTGTGCTTCACTGTAAGCACACTACTTTGCATGGCTGTGCTGTGCGCAGCCATCCAAAGCAGTGTGCACAAGCTGTTTACAAACCGTTCTCCTCCCCATCGGAAATGCTCTGCGATCACTGGCTGGGACCCGGTGATTGGCGGCGCGGGTAGGGCATGCGTCCCCTACCCAGAAATGCAAAATCTTGTATATATACACATGATTTTGTGCACCCATGCCATCCGGTAGCAGTATATCTGCTATAGGGTTGTCGTGAAGCAGCTAGAACATTTCTTAGAACCCCTGAATGTTAAACCCCTCTCTCCTTGTTCATTCACCAGAGGAGAGATCAGCAAATGAACATTCGTTGGTCTTCCTCTGTGACACCCACCATGCCAGTCCCAGGCCCACAGGTGGGAAAAGTGAAACAGGATACATGGTGAGGGCAGTCAGTCTACCAGCTGCTGATTTTAAACCACAGAGAACTGGTTAAAGTTCAACTCCGCATAAAAGAAACCCCCTTCCCTCCTCTGCTCTCTGGTGAAAAAAAAAAACCAACAACTTTCTATATATCCATTTTCACTTACCTTAAATCACAGTCATGTGACCATCCAGCACCAGGTCCTTCTCCTTTCTGTTAACTTCCTAGATGGCTTCAGCTCCCAGGTGTCCACTGCCAGTCTGACATGGACGTTTCCCATTGCTTGGCCAGTGGAGGGGTCCACTCAGGTTCCAGAAGAGGACCAACATCAGATGGAAGAGAGAGAAGGGGACTGGCTAGTGACTAACTAGTGCTACATAATCTGTACTTCCCTGGACTACTAGTCAGAGTAACAGGTTCTTGTGATAGAAGAGGGCTCCCCTTGAGGTCCATATTTTTCCAATCAGAAGCCATCTAGCCATACTGTCAAACCATGCAAGGAGAGAAGAGAAAGCTGCAGGGATTTCAAATCCCCAGACCTGTGTCAATCTTGAAGGCGGGATCTGCTGCCCAGGGAGATCAGTTCTTCTGAATCCAGTGCTTTTGAGCAGCAACCTGGGGGAGGCAGGATCAACTAGTGGTTGGCTGACTCGGCTCTGGAATCTAAGAATTGGGATCTGACTGTGTGTTCCTGGTTGGTGTCTCACCAGCCAGGAATACACAGATCTCAACTCAGTCCTCATGCACACTTGACGTTTTGATAACGCTGGTAATGTTAGCTGTGTAAAGTCCCGTTAAAAATGTGAGTTTTTCTGCTTTTTTTTAGCGTTTAGCAGCGTTTTTTCCGCGATTAGCTGCGTTTTTCCACATTTGCGTTTTTGTAAAAAAAAAAAGTCCAAAAACACCAGTATTTGTGGCGTTTTACCGCATTAGAGCTTTTTTACAGCTAAAAAACTTCTCTAGAAACCCACTAGTTTTGGGGTTTTTTTCCTGCCAAAAAATGTCCCAGCCAAAAAACATTGATTACAGTCTGTGTGCATGGACACATAGGATAACATACTGGGGAGTTTATTTTCTGTAGAAAAAAAAACATCAAACGCCAAAAACAGCAGCTGTAAAAACGTCAAGTGTGTATGAGGGCTTAGATTCCAGAGCCAAGTCAGCCAACCACTAGCTAATTCCCCTCTCCCCCCAGGTTGTGGATCACAAGTGCTGGATTCATTAGAGCTGATTTCCCTGGGCTGCAGATCCTGCCTTGGGGTCCGGATCGGTCCTTTCAAGATTAACACAGTGCCACTGTCAACCCCCAGGTACTGCTGCCTGGATCCGGACCCCAAGGCGGAATCCGCTGCCCAGGCAGATCAGCTCTTCTGAATCCAGCGCTTTTGATCCACAAACCTGGGGTTGTGTCAAATGCCCCAGGTGAAAAGATGTCTAGCTTCGACTCTATCAGAGAGAAAGTAATAAGATTAGTAATAAAATTAAGTAATAAGATTTTTTAGAAAAGGTTTTTATAGCTAAGTCTTTGCCCCAGGTGAAAGAATGTCTAGCTTCGCCACTATCAGAAGTAATAAGATTAGTAATAAATTAAGTAATAAGATTTTTAAAAGGTTTTTATATCTATATAAATGTTTTGCCTTTCGTTTCTATTTTAACCTGAATGGGTTGTTTTACAAGGTGAGGTTTTACAATACCTTTACAGTAAAAACAACATTTTGAAACAGTTTTCCAATTAAGAGAATGTATCAGGATATACTGTGTAAGTTATTCCTAACTACTTATTTCAAAGGTGCAGGTTGTCATACCTATCCTTTCGTTACTACTTGGGGTGTCCTTGACATACAGTTGCAAGAAAAAGTATGTGAACCCCTTGGGATTACATGGCGTTTTGCATGAATTGGGCATAAAATGTGCTCTGAACGTCATCTAAGTCACAACAATAGAAGAACACATTCTGCTGAACATAATACTACACAAACATTAGATGTTGCCATGGTTTAATTGCACATAACATGTAAACATTCACAGTGCAGGGAGGAAAAAGTATGTGAGGCCCTAGCTTAATGACTTCTCCCAGAGCTAATTGGAGCCAGGAGTGAGCCAACCTTGACTCCAATCAGTGTGATGATATTGGATGTGTTGCTGACAGCTGTCCTGCCCTTAAAAAACACACACCTGTTTTGGGTTTACTGGTTTCAAGAAGCACTGTCTGATGTGAACCATGCCTCGCAGAAAAGAGCTCTCAGAAGACCTACGATCAAGAATTGTTGACTTGCATGAAGCTGGAAAGGGTTACAAAAGTATCACCAAAAGCCTTGATGTTCATGTGTCCACGGTAAGACAGACTGTCTACAAATGGAGAAAGTTTAGCACTGTTGCTACTCTCCCTAGGCGTGGTCGTCCTGTAAAAATGACTGCAAGAGCACAGTGCAGAATGCTGCATGAGGTAAAGAAGAATCCCAGAGTGTCAGCTAAAGAACTACAAAAATCTCTGGCACATGCTAACATTTTTGTTGACACATCTACAATAAGGAAAACATTAAACAAGAATGGAGTACATGGGAGGACACCACGGAGGAAGCCATTGCTGTCCAAAAAGAATATTGCAGCACGTTTGAAGTTTGCAAAAGAGCACCTGGATGTTCCACAGCACTACTGGCAAAATATACTGTGGACATATGAAACCAAGATTGAGTTGTTTGGGAAGAACACACAACACTATGTGTGGAGAAATAAAAGGCACAGCACACCAACATCAAAACCTCATCCCCACTGTAAAACATGGCGGAGGGAGCATCATGGTTTGGGGCTGCTTTGCTGCCTCAGGGCCTGGACGGATTGTTGTCATTGATGGGAAAATTAATTCCAGAGTTTATCAAGACATTTTGCAGGAAAACGTACGACCATCTGTCCGCCAACTGAAGCTCTGCAGAGGATGGGTGATGCAACAGGACAATGACCCAAAGCATACAAGTAATTCAACAAAACAATGGCTGCAACAGCACAGAATACGCCTTCTGGAGTGGCCCAGTCAGAGTCCTGACCTCAACCCGATTGAAATGCTGTGGCATGACCTTAAGAGAGCGATTCACACCAGACATCCCAAGAATATTGCTACACTGAAACAGTTTTGTGAAGAGGAGTGGTCCAAAATTACTCCAGATCGTTGTGCAGGTCTGATCTGCAACTACAGGAAACATTTGGTTGAGGTTATTGCTGCCAAAGGAGGGTCAACCAGTTAAGTCCAAAGGTTCACATACTTTTTCCTCCCTGCACTGTGAATGTTTACATGTTATGTGCAATTAAATCATGGCGACATCTAATGTTTGTGTAGTATTATGTTCAGCAGACTGTGTTCTTCTATTGTTGTGACTTAGATGACGTTCAGAGCACATTTTATGCCCAATTCATGCAAAACTCCACGTAATCCCAAGGGGTTCACATACTTTTTCTTGCAACTGTATAACAAGTATGCAGCCTTTAAGTTCAACCTGCATACTTGTTCCTGTGCAGAAACTCAATAGGTAATGAAGCTATGATTAGGATGACAACCCCAGAGCTTAGACTTTTAGACAACAAATCGCTAATGACATCACCCACACATCTATCCTGACAGATTCCCTTTAAATATAGACTGGATGTCTATCTTATTGGCAACTGCAGCTGGAATTACTAGCTTCCATTAAGGGTTGGATTGATCCAAGGTGTAAATCCCATTGAAGGAGTCATAAAGGAATCCTGCTACCTTCTGTGATGATATATTAGCAGCTGCATCGCTGAAATGGCCATCTTCCAGATAAACAGAGTGCTAGCATAAGATGATTTTTATCAACTCTGGCCTTTCTTCAACCACATTATTTGATTGTGTTATTATATCAGACTGTCAGAAAGGATAGTGGTTTGTATATGGTGTATTTGGAACTCTTAACATGCAGCTTTATAAGAACAGTGATATAGTTTGAACCAGCCATTTTCAATCAGGGTTCCATGACGCCTTAGGAGGTGGCATTCATTCTTCCAAACTGACCACCAATGTAAAGTAAATTAGCAGGGGTTCCTTGAGACCTATAAATTAGTTTAATAATTCCAGAAGGGTTAAAAGGTTAAGAAATCACTCTGATCCGAAAACATAGACCTAGTGTATGAAAACATGCATGTAGCATCAATGCAAACTAATTTCACAGAAACCTAGTTGTTATTTTCAACTTTACAGTTTTCAAAAAGTGCCAAATGTAAATAGGTTATTCCACTGAGTTTGATAGCAAAGGATTAATAAAGCGGCCTTGTGCATCTACAGGATTGTGTGTGCTCGGCCTTTAACAAATGTTAATTGAGATCATTTACATCAGCTTGGATTAGGTAGCCATCACATGACTTAGATTAGACCGCACTGGAGCTGATCATGCTTAAAGCACATAAGGAGCCTGATGAAAATGTGATCACCAATGACAGCAATCATTTAACTGTTTAAGTGTATACCTGGCCATATGATGCATGGAATTCAGCTGATTTCTTTTGAAAAGTGTATGGCCCTGGCAGCACTGCTCTGTTTAACAAGGTCAATTGTTCAGTCACCTTTTGCTGAAAAAGCCAGGTGGAGAATTGTTGGAAGGACAGCATCGGCATCCAGTCAGTTGCAGGCATTGTTCAGGTATTTTGGTATAGCCATGCTGAGGGATTTATCCATTCACATGAATAAAAGAATCTGTCGGACCTCTTTCAGCCTGCATAAGAAATCTAG